TACTTACCTAGGTGGATGCATCATCAATCCGATACTGCATCTGTCCCCCTGCTGTCGCTACACCAAGAACTGAGCATCAAATACCGCTGATCGCTCAGCTCTCAGTCTTCAGTGAGCAGAGAGCTGGTGACTATCAGTCACCAGCTCTCTGCTCTGCCCCTCCAGCGTTCATTGGAGTTCCGAGCTGTGGAGGGGGAGGGAGCATCTGTCTCAGGATCTAGGTGGCATGCTGAGATGCTGAGCCAGCTGCCAATCAGGCATTTGAGTGGATCTCTAATTTCTCCAGAATTTGGACCGGCTGAGTGACGTCAGCTGACAGCAGACTTTAGCCGCTGACGGGTAAATACGGGTCACAGAATGAAATGCACTTCAGTGGCCTACAGGAGAAATAGGGCCAAACGAGCTTTTTACATGCTTTTAACATATGTCAGCACATATACACCAGCCAATTCTTTTAATTGGATTGGTTCATAATGTCTATGTTTTGATGCCTCAATTTACATCAAAATGTCATTTTACAAGCATTTTCATGCATGGTCAACGCATAACATTGGGGAACTGGACAAAAACATTGGGGAACTGGAGAAAGTACAGAGAAGGGCAACCAAACTGATAAAAGGCATGGAGGAGATCAGCTATGAGGAAAGATTAGAGGAACCAAATTTATTCTCTCGAGAAGAGGAGCTTAAGGGGGGATATGATCAACTCGTATAAATTCATCAGTGGTTCATATAGTGAACTCGGTGTAGAGCTATTCACCCTGAGATCATCACAGAGGACAAGAGGGCACTTTTTATGTCTGGAGGAAAAGAAATTTAATCTCCATATATGGAAAGGTTTCTTCACAGTGAGAGTTGTGAAAATGTGGAATAGACTCCCTCAAGAGTTGGTTCTGACCAGCTCAGTGGATTCTTTATTGGATACACAGGATATAACTAGTTACTAACATTTATAGGTAAAGTTGATCCAGGGAATATCTGATTGCCTCTTGGGGGATCAGGAAATAATTTTTTCCCCTGCAGGAGAAAATTGGATCATGCTTTGTTGGGTTGTTGTGCCTTCCTCTGGATTAACTGTGGGTATAGGATTATAATTTTTGTTTTTTCTTGTTGAACTGGATGGACTTTTATCTTTTTTCAGCCAGACTAACTATGCAACTATAACAACATGCAATAAAAACAATGCACAATGTGGCATTTAATTATAGTCACTTAATGAAAGCCTATAGGTAGATGCGAGATATGCCATGAATGCCAGATGATCTAATTTTATGTCTGAATAAGGCTAGCCATACATTATAAAATTTTCTTGAGATTTTTGCTTTAGATTTACCAAAAACCATATAATAGGAGGTCAAACCCAAACAACACTTTCAGTTGTATCCAATCAGGCAGGCCCTTGCATTGGACAGTTGAAGGTACAGTTGTGTTCAAAATAATAGCAGTGTGTTGAAAAAAGTGAATAAAGCTCACAATCCTTCTAATAGCTTTTATTTCCATACACACAAATGCATTGGGAACACTACACATTCTATTCCAAATCAAAACATGAAGAAAAATATATCAAATTTGTGTTGTTCCTCTAAAAAAAATGAAGAAAAGTAAACATTAGGCTGTTCAAAAAAATAGCAGTGTTTGTATTCTTCTTTACAAACTCAAACATTCACTATATAAACTGAAAAATGTTTGAAGATTTTGCTTTCCTTTGAATCACTTAATGAATATTTAGTTGTATAAGCACTGTTTCTGAGAACTGCTGTACATCTGTGTTGCATGGAGTCAACCAACCTCTGGCACCTGTGATCAGGTATTCCAGCCCAGGATGATTGGACTACATTCCACAGTTCTTCTCTATTTCTTGGTTTTGCCTCAGAAACTGCATTTTTGATGTCACCCCACAAGTTTTCTATTGGATTAAGATCCGGGGATTGGGCTGGCCTCTCCATAACGTCAATCTTGTTGGTCTGGAACCAAGATGTTGCATGTTTACTGGTGTGTTTGGGGTCGTTGTCTTGTTGGAACACCCATTTCAAGGGCATTTCCTCTTCAGCATAAGGCAGCATGACCTCTTCAAGTATTCTGATGTACTCAAACTGATCCGTGATCCCTGGTATGCGATAAATAGGCCCAACACCGTAGTATGAGAAACATCCCCATATCATGATGCTTGCACCACCATGCTTCACTGTCTTCACAGTGTACTGTGGCTTGAATTCAGTGTTTGGAGGTCGTCTGACAAACTGTCTCCGGCCACTAGACTCAAAAAGAACAATCTTACTTTCATCAGTCCACAAAATGTTGCGCCATTTCTCTTTAGGCCAGTCAATGTGCTCTTTGGCAAATTGTAACCTCTCCAGCACATGTCTTTTTTTCAACAGTGGGACTTTGCGGGGGCTTCTTGCAGATAGCTTGGCTTCACATAGGCATCTTCTAATTGTAACAGTACTCACAGGAAACTTTACACCTTCTTTGATCTTCCTGGAGCTGATTGTTGGCTGAGTCCTTGCCATTTTGGCTATTCTTCTATCCATTCGAATGGTAGTTTTTCGCTTTCTTCCACGTCTTTCAGGTTTTGGTTGCCATTATAAAGCATTTGCGATCATTTTAGCTGAGCAGCCTATCATTTTCTGCACTTCTTTATATGTTTTCCCCTCTCCAATCAACTTTTTAATCAAGGTACGCTGTTCTTCTGAACAATGTCTGGAACGACCCATTTTCCTCAGAATTTCAGAGAGAAATGCACTGTAACCGGCATGTACAACATTTGCTGCCTTCCTTCCTTAAATAAGGGCAATAATTGCCACCTGTTTTTCAAAGAATGAATGACCTCACTAATAGAACTCCACACTGCTATTATTTTGAACATGCCCCTTTCAATTAGTGATTCAATTACACAGAATCAGCAGCATGCATGTCATGACTGTTGGGTCTGTTGGATTTCTATTACTCTACTACACCTGCTAGTAAATTATTTGCCATGCAGAAATATAATTTCTACCAAAAACAGTGATTGATCAGGTTAGTGATGTCTGACTGCTATTATTTTGAACACAACTGTAAATCCAAAGGAAATTGGACAGAAGATTGGAAGAAAACTGTATAGTGTATGGCTAGCCTAAGACTTCATTCACATTGGCGTACTACAGCATGCCCTGAATGCACCTGCACAGCGGTCAAATTAAGAGCAGTGTGTGGTGGTCCATGCAGCCACTGCAACCCAACTGACATGAATGGGACTGCCTGTATGGGGATGCATGGCACACCTGTGCATCCGCATTCAGGTTAACATGGCTCCCGCACTGTAGTATACCTGTGTGAATGAGTCCGAAGAAACGTACTGCAAGGTAGAAAACAAAACTGCTTGGAGGTCTATAAACATTTGCACATGCTTTATCATTTATGCCATATTTTCCTCTATCTTTTATAGTTCAGAGGGAAAAAATAGTTACTGTGCACTTAGATTGTAAGCTCTATGAGCAGGGCCCTCTGATTCCTCTTGTACCAAATTGTATTGTAACTGTAATGTCTACCTTCATTTTATAAAGCACTGCGCAAACTGTAGGCATTATATAAATCCTGTATAATAATAATAATAATAATACATTTATTGTATAAATGTATAGAATGTATAAATTCTATACATATAAATGTAATGTATGGAAATATGTCACATTTATTCCCTGTAGATCCTGAGTTGGATTATCTTAATGCAGGTCATACATGGGTCGAATTTAGAACAAATTTTCTTTAGAAAATTGGAAATTTTCTGCATTTTGTAATCCAATGGTGCCACCATTGATTTCAAAATTCGACCAACCAAGCCTTCAATTTAACCTCATGTTGCTATAGAAAAGAATTTTCGTGGCCAAGAATTTTCTTTTCTTTCCAGGTCACAGCTCATGCTCATTTCTTTTTTGTTTATATTTCTTGCACGATTCTCCCTCATTGATTCAAAATTCTTAAAAAAATTTCCAACATGCCGATCACTCAAATTCGATGATCATACGAAAATCGTCCGTTTCTGTGACCCACTAATGGTGCAAAATTCAAACGTAAATTCTTAGAAAAGATTTTCGAAAGAAAAGTCTTTTGAAATTCGACCCGTGTATGGCTGGCTCAAACCTAGTTCACACTGGCCATGAAAGCCTTTGACACAAATGATACTATGGGCAGCACACAGTGCTGTTCACATTATCAAAACATGAAGCGTTAGCGTTGTGTCGCTTCAAAATTGAAGCCTCATGTCGAATCTAGAGGAGTTTGAAGCTTGTCAACGCCTCCCATTCAGGTCTAAGGTGACGCTCCACCAACCCGCTGGCATGCATTTGTGGGGTATTTGAAGTGCAGTTGCGGCGTATTAATAACATTACAGTTTATTATAGGCGTTTGTGGTGCGGTTATTTGAACCACTTGCCTACCGGGCACTTATACCCCTTCCTTACCAGGCCAATTTTCAGCTTTTAGTGCTGTTGCACTTTGAATGACAATTGCGCGGTCACGCAACATTGAATTCATATGAAAATTTTAGCATTTTTTTCTCACAAATAGAGCTTTCTTTTGGTGGTATTTACTCACCGCTTGGTGTTTTATTTTTTGCGCTAAAAAAAAAAAGCACAAAATTTGAAAAAAAAATAGTTTCTTTGTTTCTAGTATAACATTCTGCAAACAGGTAATTTTTCTCCTTCACTGATGTGCGTTGATGAGGCTACACTGATGAGCACTGATAGGCAGCACTAATGAGGTGGCACTGATAGGCGGCACTGATGAGCTGTCACTGATGATGGGTACCGATAGGTGGCACTGACTGGCATCACTGCTGGGCACTGACTGGTAGCACTGCTGGGCTGCACTGATGGGCACTTTTGGGTGACACTGGTGGGCACTGATGGGCACAGGTGGGTGACACTGCTGGGCACTTGTGAGCTGCACTGCTGGGCACTTGTGGATGGAACTGGTGGGTGACACTGCTGGGCACCGATCATCAGTGCCCTGATGATCGGTGCCGATCCCTGCTCTGACAACTGCCGGTTCTCGGCAGTACTTTCCTCACTCTATGACAGTGTGAGGAAAGTGCAGCCAAGAACCAGCAATTGCATTTCCCGATGATCAGCGTGTCATTGGACGCAGGTGATCCTGTGGTAAAGGCCGCTGTGATTGGCCTTTTTACCACATCACGTGATCAGCTGTGTCCAAAGGACACAGCGATCACGGGGTGCGCACACCTGGGGCCGCGCAGGAGAGCGTGTTCTGGGAGGATGTCATAGGACGGCCTCCCAGAACTGGCCGGCCGCAGTGCAGCCATCATTCGGGTATCTGCGGTCGGCAACTGGTTAACTTGTAAAATGATTATAAAAACTTCAAAACGGCTCATAGGGCACTTAGGGAGCATTTTAACGCGTGTAAAAAGCCAGTCTAATGCCCATACTAAAGCTCATTAACGCCTAACGCCCATACTAACACTATAGGAGAGTTTGGTAAGAGACAGAAAGTAGTCAAGTGTGAACAAGCAGCAGAATGTGTCATTGGAGCAGGAATGTCCCATCATACAACTTCAAATCATAGAACTTCACAGAAAAACAGCCAAAGGCCAAAAGTAACATTATACTTACTAATAAAGGATTTCTAGAATCCACAGACAGCGGTCCAGCAGGAGCTGAATATATGCGGATATCAGGAGCACAACACCACAGTGGATTACTCTTCAGCTGAATATTATTTGCTGACGTTGATCATATTGATAAAGCCTGAACTTAGGACTTCAACACCGTATGGGTTAAAAGTCCTTCCCTGCTTCCCCAACCTGAGACAGATGGATTCATTTACATAGATTTGCTGAGATAACTGTGAATATTAATGTGCACATGAAAAAATAAAACGTTTTTATCAGACAGCACAACCTAGCAGCATACAGAATGCAATGGAGGCATAAATATTTAAATAATAAATATTTTATTATAACCTACATTAGTAAAAGCACACTTGTGATTTCCCATGCAGGGAAAAGTAACAGGTTCACATAACCCCCTCCCCCCTTCTCCAGCAGTGTATACTTAAAGGATAAGTTCACCTTTTTTGACAAAAATAATAAATGCACATTTTTTTGCAGTCAATGTCTGCTTACCATACAGGATGTACAAGCAAGCAGATATTCAATGAACTACCGTGGGGCTCCACGGTGCCATGGCAGTTCATTGAAAACTACAAGCCCACAGCCGCTAAGGCTGCCGGGACTTGTAGGCACTCATTTACAATACTCTGTGAATGAGTGACACAGCTGTGTGGGCGGAGCCAAGCACAACCGCACTGTTTTCAAATCTGCCAGATAGTACGGGGAGAAGTTTCCGCGTACTATCTGTCAGAGGGAGGTAGGGCGGCGACGGCTATGGGAATATGTTACATTTTCCAAAGGTGAACTTATCCTTTAAAGCAGGGCTCAAAATTTCAAGTCCTGAGATACTAGCCAGGCCTTTACCCTAGGTTCACATCTGTGCGGGTGGTGCCGCTGCAGATCCGCACGAAAATCAGTGCAGCTGCACCACCCGCACAGAAAAAATGCGGACCAGCGGGATGGTGCCATTAATTCTAATGGCATGCATGCCGCCCGAACTGGAAAACGCAACCTATACTGGCAACTGAGGTTCCTGTGCAGACTGCGTTTTCCAAAGAAGTGCAAGGACTTCTTTCTCTGCATGTCACGGGCACTGGACTCCATTCAAAGGAATGGGCTCTCGTGCCTGTGCAAAACGCAGCCCGCACGGCCTCATAGATGTGAACCGGGGGTAAGAGTTATTCGCCACTAGTTGCCCCACTCCCCTAATTCTGCCCCTCGTAAATGATCTCATTATGGCCAAATGATGGCTACAGCGAGATTGTCCAGTTCTGGGAGGGCGTCATATGACGTCCTCCCAGAACATGAGCACCTGGCGATCTCCATGATCGCTGTATCCTACAGACACAGCTGATCAGGTGATGAGGTAAAGGCCAATCAAAGCAGCATTTTACCATGTGATCAGCTGATACAGCAGATCATGGAGTACATACAGTTGCCGATTATCGGCAGCACTTTCTTCACGCTGCCACAGCGTGAAGAAAGTACTGTAGATAACCAGCAGCTATCACAGAGCAGATCAGCACTGATCATCAGGACACTGATAATCAGTACCCAGCAGTGCCACCCAGCAGTGCACATCAGTGCTTCCCACCAGTGCCACCCATCAGTACCGCCCAGCAGTTGCGCCCAGCAGTGCCACCAGTCAGTGCCATCAGTCAGCGTCGCCCCATCAGTGTCCATCAGTGCCGTCTATCGGTGCCCATCATTGCTGCATATCAGTGCCGCCTATCAGTGAGTGCTACCTATCTATGCCACCTCATCAGTGCCCATCAGTGCCGCCAATCAGTACAGCCTCATCAACGTACATCAGTGAAGAAAAAAAATTACTTGTTTGCAAAAGTTTATAATAGAAACAAAGAGAAACTTTTCAAATTTTTTTGCTCTTTTTTTTGTTTATAGTGCAAAAAATAAAACACCCAGCGACGATTAAATACCACCAAAAGAAAGCTCTATTTGTGTGAAACAAATTTTTAAAAATTTCATATGGGTACAGTATTGCATGACCGCGCAATTGCCATTCAAAATGCGACAGAGTTGAAAGCTGAAAATTGGCATGGGCAGGAAGGGGGTGAAAGTGCCCGGTATGGAAGTGGTTTTATGCAGAATAGTTACAAAAATAAATACATACCCCCATTTACACCCCCTCCCCCCACAGCCATGTCCTCTACCCTCCTTCTCACCCCCCCCCCAGCCGTGAGGGTGGGAGGGGGTGAAAGAAAAAGAGACATGGGGTAAGAGAAAAAGAGAGGGGGGTAAGAGAAAAAGAGAGGGGGGTGAGAGAAAGAGAGGGGAGGGGGAGAGAGGGGGGTTGTTCAGTACGTCAGCTACTGAAAATGATGGCACCGTCCCCCCATAATTTGAGGTCATAATGGGCATACAACCCCCCCCCCTTAGAACACATGGTCTCCATTATGGTGCCATGCACCCCCCAGAACACACAGTGAGCCCCCCTACTACATAAAGCAAATACAAAGACCCATCTCTCTCTCTCTCTCTCCTGTTCTCAGCACTCCAGTCACAGACAGCTCTCCCCCTTCCTCCCACTATTACACCCCGAGTTCCCACCAGTCTGAGAAGTGTCCTCCTCCTCGGGCTCCATCAGACTCTCTTTCCTCTCACCGGACCAGACCTGGAGTCCGCTTTGAAACATCCACCCTACGGCCCACCCCATCTTTCCAGGAGTCTGTCACAGGGCCCTCTATGAACCCTCAGGCAGTATATGAGTGCCTGAATGTCCGAATACTTAGTCTGCTCCTTGTGCCAGCACCCCGCTCCATATCCATCGGCTGTCTGATCAATCCGGCCCTCAGCCCCACGTTATTTCCACTTGTCCAATGCAAGCAGGTCAGTAGAAATTTTGAGGCCTGCTTAAAGGATACGTTCACTTTTGGGAACATGTTACATGTTTTTTAGGGTAACATGTTCCCAGTGCTGCAGAAGTTCCCCATACAAACTGTCACTTTTTAAAAACAAGTGTGGCTGTGTGGGGCTCCGACCACACAGCCGCAACATTCATTTACAGAGTTCTGTGAATGAACTACAAGTCCCGACATCCTTAGCGGCTCTCAGCTTGTAGTTCTCCATGAACTACCATGGCGCTGTGCAGCACCGTGGTAGTTCATTGAGTCTTGAATCTTCCTGTCAGTATGTCTGCCTGCCTGTACATCCTGTACGGGCAGGCTGATATACTGACAGGTCTGCAGGAGACCTGCATGGCTCTAGAGATCTGGTGATCGCTGGTGCAATGCTTTACAGGCCCCTGCTACAAAAAATAATAAATGCACATTTTTTACCAGAAAAAAATGTGCATTTATTATTTTTGGTCAAAAGGTGAACTTTAACTTTCCTATACCCCCTATCCATTCCATTTAGCCACCACAGGGGGTTGCTCACTCGGCACCCCCACCATTTATAAAACACCTTGGGGGTTATTTATTAAAGCTGGAGAGTGCAAAATCTGGTGCAACTCTGAAAATAAACCAATCAGCTTACAGGTTTTATTGCCAAAAAGCTTAATTAAACAAGCTGAAGTTAGAAGTTTGTTGGCTACCATGCACAGCTGCATTGGATTCTGAGTGGTCCAGTTTTAGCAAATATTTCCCCTTGTATTTTTTTCAATGAATACAAGGTATTCTCTGATTGTGGTGGAGAGAGAGAGGGAAATGTCACTATATCCACCATGTCCAATTACAGAATGACTTGTATTCACTGAAAAGATACAATGTGTTCTGTGAATGGAGGAGGTGTCAAGTGAGCGACCCTCGCTGGTCAGTGTGCAGAGGGGAAGCTGTTTGCAAAGAACCTGGACGATCGTGGCTGTCACTGTATGTCGTGCCAACTACTACAGAGTGATATACAACATCCACAGTGGCCTTCCAGATATCACACTATTTGCATATTATACTTATAGCAAGCCAAGCTGGCAAAATGTAAGTGCAAAAAAAAAGTATATTTCCTGGAGTTCAGATTTAAATGATTACTGAAATCTGGATATAAAAAGAAATATGGCCAAAGCTTTTTTGACCATACTTCTGTGGGTCACACGAGTGCACTTTGTTCTGCTTTCCTTTGACACTGAATCAGACGACAGTGGGCTAAAGTCCACTGTTGGCTGATGTCACAGAGCTGGTCCAGGCTCTGTAGGGATCCTGAAAATGATGTCAGGATCCACCCAGATGCATGAGTGGCAGCTGGCTCAGTGTTTCAGAGTGCCACTGAGAGCCTGGGCCAGTGGCTTCCACCCCCTCTACAGCCCAGTGCTCCAGTGAGTGCTGGAGGGGCAGATAAGAGAGCCGGAGACTGACAGTCACTGCTCTTTGCACAGAACGGAGGAGAGCACTGAGTGATCAGCGGCCAGGTAAGTTCTTGGACTTAGAGTCAGCAGGGGACAACTGCAGCATCACAGCAGAATATCCTTTAATACAGTAAAGTTCAGAGGTATGGGTTGACTTTAAAGCGATTCTAAAGGCTCTTTTTTTTTTATGTAAAATAACAAACATGTCTATACTTACCTACTGTGTGCAGTGATTTTGCACAGAGCAGCCCAGATCCTCCTCTTCTTGGGCTCCTCCTGTCGGGTGCCCCCACAGCAAGTAGATTGCTATGGAGGCACCCGCTGCTCCGTGTGTCCATTCACACACGGAGCTGCGGCCTGGCCCCACCCCCTCTCTCCTCAATGGCTCCCGCTTGCTGTCTCAGCTAAAGAGGAGGCAGAGACCCGGGGCAGCCGAGGCTGTCATTCACATTGCTGGAGGTAAGTATTGAGGGAGCTGGCGGCACTGCTACACACAGAAGGTTTTTTTTGGCTTTTGGCGTTTTTTTCTACAGCCAGTAAAATCCCCAGCATGTTATCCTATGTGTCCATGCACACATAGGTTGTAATCAGCATTCTTTGGCAGGAAAAAACCCCAGAACTAGTCGGTTTCTAGTGATTTTGTTAGCTGTAAAATGCTCTAACGCTAAAAAAAAAAAACACAGTAAAACATGGCAAACCGGCGTTTTTGACCTTTTTTTTTAAAAAAAAAAAAAAAATGCAGCAAAACGCTAATGCAAATCGCTGAAAAACGTGACTTTACACAGCTAACACTACTAGCATTATTAACAAGTTCCCGTCCGGCCTATAGCCAAATGGCAGCCTGCAAAACCCCTCGTCCCTCCGGGTAGACGCCATATGGCGTCCTTTCGGGCATGCGCAGTTTGCATGCCTGCAGAGCCACGCAGTGGCGCGATCTGTCACTGGCCGTGTACCTCAGACACAGCCGATGACAGATCTGAGTACCGGCCCCTTTCCGGTACCATGTGACCTGCTGTGACCAATCACAGCAGGTCACATCACAGTTGTATACAATGGATGGCTTCATTCATGCCATCCATTGTATACTAGTGTGTCTAGCTGTGAATGGTCACAGTGATCACATGCACAAGCTGGGCCAATCACAGTCCAGCTGTGTCATGTGATTAGCCGTGGCCAAATCACAGCTAAGCACAAAAAAAAAAAAAAAAAAAAAAAAACCCTGAATGAATCGATGTCATTCAGGTAAATGCTTGCTTATAGCAAAATTTTTTTTAAAATTATATATATTTTTTTCATACTGTCACCAGTCAGTGTCCCTGATCACCGCCATGCCAGTTATTTGATGACGCTGTACTGTACTTATGACACAAGACGTCTGTCAGAGGCGCGCGCACGCTGGGAACGGCGCGTGACTAAGGGTGTCTCGTGCACGAGCGCGGAGCGAGTTGTGAGCGGAAACTCCGGAGTGTCTCAGACGTCCCCCGGGCCGGTGTGGGGGCCACACAGTATGGCCTCCTCCATGGAGGTGTTCGGTCTACCGGAGGAGGAGCTGGATGCAGAACAAAGTTAGTTACATTGACTGGTGTGCAGAGATTGAGCGACTTTGGGCTGTATGGTGGTGCAAAGGTGTTCATGCTTGACTTTGACTAGCCTCATGGAGCTTCCTCAACTTTCACAGCCCCAAGGGATTTCCTTATCAACTCCTGTGAAGGGGGAAGGTTTATTCCGTTTGATATCGTTCTGATCTGCTGGATCACTGTTTCACCACAAGAGGGCGTAGGATATCTACCTTTCCTGGCTATTCACTTGACCAGATCTGAGGGGAGAAGGGGACTCCACAGGATATACATACACATGCGTATAATTTTACGCTATCTGGTTAGTGTAAATCCTTACCATTTGCACTAGGATATACGGAGCACCTTTTCTCACTGGACTGTGTTTTATGATCACTTTTTTCAAGCGCTGCATTTTTATATATATGTACTGTACTGGCGACAGTATGTAAAAAAAAAAATAGTGAAAATATTTTTTTTTATTTTTTCATTTTCCGAAAAATGACAATAAAAAATAAAACTTCAAAAAACCGCCATGCCTCTTATGAAGTACGTCAGACTGTCTACTTTGCAAAAAGGGGTCATTTGGGGGATATCTGTACTGTTCTGACATTCTTGGATCTCAAGAAATTAGTTTGGCTGTCAGTACTTCAGGATTGATCAATATTCAGATATATCCCATAGTTTGTGAACTCTATAACTTTCCTACAGGCTGGGAAAAAAACCCAGAACTAGTGGGTTTCAAGAGGATTTTTTTAGCTGTAAAAATGCTCTAATGCTGAAAAAAGCTGAAAGATACTAAAAGCCACAACTATCCAGCGTTTATGAGCGTTTTTGAGCCTGAAGATTTTGTGGGAGTATAATTTTGCTAAAAAGTGCAAACGCTGAAAAACACAACAAACGCTGAAAAAAACTAATGCAAAAACGCTAAAAAAATGCGACAAAACTCACATTAATCATGCAGAATTCTACAGCTAACACTTTATAATGTCTAGTGTGCATGAGGCCTAAATAAACACAAGCTCACCTGTCCCAGGATCCAGAGATGTGCTCACCCGAGCCATCCCTTCTCACCCTGGCGCCAGCATCTCAAGTGTGGGCACCCATATGTGACAACTTGCAGCTCCACAACCGGGTGACCACTACGTATATGTGATTTTGGTTGCACCTCCTGAATGGTCCGGTAGTCTTCTGGGACCTTGATGTATCCCAGAAGAGTGCAGGGACAGATGGAGGGGGGGAGGGAATTGCTTGGATCGCCTAGGCTCCCCCCCCGCCCAAAAAAAAATTGCATGCCAAATGTGGCGGGGAGGAGTACTTAAAGCACAACTTCCCCCTTTGGATGGAGCTCTGCTTTAATGAGCAGCCTCATAGACCGATAGGTGCAAGCACCAGGGAGGGGCAGCAAAAGCTTGATTTTAAAGCTGCAGTAAGGATTTGCATAGCTGAGCCCAAAGTTGTCACCTTACCCATCTTCACAGTGTTCACCTACTGCTCATTCCTGCTTTGCTTCTGTCAGTTTGTCTTGAGCCTGGATTCACATATATGCGGTGTGGTATATCACATGTGATTCGCACAGGAACCGCACCGCATTCCTGTGCAAAACACATGCGATTTGTATGGCTCTAATCACACAGCAACAGCACCAAAAAGGTGCAGGACCCTTTTTTGGATCTGCACTGAAATCGGATCGCATGGGTATTCACACCTATGCGATCCAATTCTGCACATCGCACTGCGTTTTGTGGACCTCTTTCGGGGTGTTGTTAACATACACACCCGCAGCGGTTCACATGAATGGGGTGGGATGCTGATGCGGTGCGGAATTAGCACAGAAAACGTTGCAAATTCTGTACAGCATAAGTGTGAACCAGGGCTGTGCAAGATGACACAATCTCTTAAATCTGAACTCCAGGTTTGGCAGTTTTTACCGTTACATTTATGGACCAGTGTAAGCATGTGTATGTGTCATACTTGTGGGATCCCCGTGGAAACTGGAAATCACTGTAATATATACCGCTACTACCAGTGATGCGCCGATATATTGGCTACCGAAAAGAGGGTTATCGGTTTTTGCCAATAAAAAAAAAAAAAAGGTGCAGATAACTGACTTCAATGCAAAATCGCGTCTCATTGACTTTGATGCAAAAACTGTGTCATTTTGACTTCAATACAAAAACGCCCCCTATTGACCTCAATGCAAAATCGCATCCCACTGACTTCTGTGCAATAGTTTAGCACAGAGCAGCTACAATCCTCTTATTTTTGTGTCACCCGTCGGCGATCCAGGCTCCTCCCCCCTATCGAGTGCCCCCAATAGCAAGCGTCTTGCTATGGGGGCACTCAAGCAGGCTCGCTCCTGACCTGGGCTTTTTGTGTCCATTTAAACACACTGCGACTAGGCCCTGCCCCTTGATCTCTCCTCATTGGCTCACTGGCTGTGACTGACAGTAGCAGGAGCAAAAAACTCCCTATGTTGTGTTAGACAATGAGGAAAGAGAGACCCTGGAGAGCTGCTGCTCTCATGCACAATGCTGGATCGAGATGGGGCTCAGGTAAGTATAAGGGGAGGGGGGAGCTGCACCCATAAGGTTTTGTGCCTTAATACATAGAATGCATTGAGGTAAAAACCTTGAGCCTTTAGAACAACTTTAATTGTAGTTTATGAATCACTAAGCTAGAATATACATAGGAACTAAATTATACTACATTTCTACTCTTGCTATGATATGTATCCTGGCATATGCAGTGATTCTGTTCAGATATGATGGCTTTTTATTTTATGGTAACTTTGTAAAGGTTCCAGCTATATGATGTGGAACAATGCACAGTGAAAAGCTGAATTCCAAAAATTTATTTTTTTGCATAGTTACATTGGGCTTGATTTCCCAAAGGAAAATAGGCTGTGCACTTTGCCAGTGCAGTTGCTACAGAGCTTAGGGGAACTGCTGACTTCCATCATCCAATCATGTGCAAGCAAAAATGCAGTTTTTTTTTCCTGTGTGTGTGATTGGGTATTTTCTGCAAAGTAAAACTTTGCGACATTCACTAAGCTCTGAAGCAAATGCTTTGCAAAGTGCACATTCTATTTGCCTTTAGTGAATCAACCCCATTGGTCATGCTTGGAGCAGTATAGGTATACGTATTGATACCTGGCCAATCCCTGTGGAAGCCGCCGCTACTGCAATGATCACCTTCATTTTCCAAGTCCCATGCCAAGCGACTGCCCTGCTGCATAGTAATTCCAGGGGGTCACTCAGTTGCCATTCAGAAAACACCCTGAAAAGCATTCTCTGATTAGATGAGGTGGAAATTGTGACATCACTGTCCCCTCAATTTGAATCATTACCAGGACACAACCTGCCTGGAGATTGCATGCTTCCCCTGTGCCTGCGTGGGTTTCCTCCCACACTCCGAAGATATTCTGGAAGATAAATTGGCTCCTATCTAAATTGGCCTTAGTATGCGTATGTATGAATGTGAGTTAGGGACCTTAGATTGTAAGCTCCTGAGGGCAGGGACTGATGTGAATGTGCAATATGTAAAGTGGTCCATTAACTGTCAGCTCTATAAATACCTGTAAACAATAACCATGAGAATAAAATCATTTTTGCAGCAGTGGTGATTTGAGAAGTAGCTTCTCTGGGTTTTGGCACCTTACCTTACTAACCCTCCCCCATGTTAGAACAGTACTGCTCACCTGTGTTTAGGTACACAACCTCTGCCAGTACCAGCCAGCTGCCAGGACCTAACAACACAGATAGGTCCTGTAGGCGGAGCCAACTCCGCCATCTTTGTTAAGGGAAACAATACAGTCACCAATCGTTTTTACAGGTCCTTGTTTATTTATCTCTCATTTGTGGTTCATAGGCGTCTGTACACAATATTATATACATTTATTGCGAGTTGAGTACTGTGTTGTTCCTGATCTCCAAAGCATGCGATTAATAAGGCAACATGCGTCATCACTGTGCGCCCGGTAAGGGAGAATGCGCGGCGGCCATTTTTGTGTAGACCACAATGTTTATCTTGATGGAGTGAACTCTATATTGGAGACTGATAGGCGGACACGTCATCTCTCAGCACCGGTAGTGTTCGGCATGCCGGTATTGAGCAGCGTGTGTGTTCGGGATGCCGGGGGCTCGGTGCTGCCTGGCGGGTTCTGGGCGGCGGTGTCGGTGTGGCTGGAGAAGGCTCAGGTGCTGAATAAGAGGCTGTGCGGCTCGTGTATAGAGCGGAGCTGGGATTGGAGGAAGGCAGAGGAGGAGGGAGATGGGACTCTGCGGGGGCTGCTCCCTCTGCTGGCTGGGCTGACCTGCCCCGGAGGAGATGAGGAGGTGCTGAGAGCCATCAGAGCCAATGAGGAATCAGAAGAGGGCAGGCTCCTCCTTCTGAGGAGCCTCATCCCCAAATCCAACCCCCATTACACCTGTACGGATCCCCGGAGGGAGCTCGTCATCAAAGGTCAGCAGTGTCCCCGATGTGTAATGGTGTCACAGCACTACAGCCCAATCTGCTGTCAGGAGGAGGAGCTGCAATAGAACCGCCTCTCAGCACAGGCGTTAGGACTCACGGCAGCGCGGCGTGATGCACATTGGTATTCAATACAAAATGCCCTGCAACCTGTATTATCTTGCGTCTGGAGGCCCTTCTATTGGTTTCAATGGTGTGACTCCAGACGGAGCGGGTGATTGTGTTTGTTACAATGTCCTTTGCTTTGAACAGTGTACTAAGGCGGGATTGATACTTTCTTTTTGCATCTTACCTTTCACCCCGACACCGAGGCTGCAGCCACATCTAGCGATTTGGAGTGCGCATTTATTTTCCGTGCGGCATGCATTCATTTTAACCACTTGCCTACCAGTCACTTATACCCCCTTCCTGCCCAGGCCAATTTTCAGCTTTCAGCGCTGTTGTACTTTGACAATGCAACACTGTACCCATATGAAATTTTTATCATTTTTTTTTTTTCACACAAATAGAGCTTTCCTTTGGTGGTATTTACTCGGCTGGGTGTTTTATTTTTTGCAATATAAACAAAAAAAGAGCAAAAAAATTTAAAAGAAAAAAAAGGTTTTCTTTGTTTCCATTATAACATTTTGCAAACAAGTTATTTAGGATCACTGATGTGCATTTATGAGGCTGCACGGATAAGCGGCACTGATGGGCAATGATATGCACCAATGATGGGTGGCACTGATGGACACACCTGGGTGGCACTGCTGGGCACTTGTGGGTAGCACTGCTGGGCACTGATCGTCAGTGCCCTGATGATTGGTGCCGATCCATCATCTGACAATTGTTGGTTATCGGCAGTACTTTCCTCACGCTGTGACTGCATTTACTGGTGATCTGTGTCATTGGACACAGCTGATCACGTGGTAAAAGGCAGCTGTAATTGGCCCTTTTACCACATCACATGATCAGCTGTGTCCGTAGGGCACAGCGATCACGGAGATCGCCAGGGTGCGCGCTCTCGGGGGCACGCGGGAGGGTGCGTTCTGGGAGGACGTCATACGACGCCCTCCTAGGACTGGACAACCGTGCTGCAGCTGTCATTCAGCTATAGCGCGGTTAGCAAGTGGTGAAAAGGACGCCCTATGTGCTGCAAAGTAGCTCATGGAACATGTTAAGGCGTTCCAGTTTGTACAGTATTTTGCACACAGGAAAGCACACGTTTGCTTCCCTAGTTTGGGGTACCATTAACAAATAATGGCGCTGCAAGTACGACACGCAGAAAAATAAAGTGCAAAATTGAGCACAACAAAAAGCTACATGAGCTACTTACCATGTGCAGGGCGGCCTGTTGAAATGATTGAGCTGCCTTATACGTGTCATGCCAAAACGCACACAAAAAGAAAGTGTGAATGGGGCCCAAGGCTGGATTGATCCCTTTGCATTTTTTGTAGCGTGTACTTTCCTCCCCGACACTGATCTGTTGTGTTCTGTCATCACAGATATTAGACTGGTATCAATATCATTTGTAACCTTGATCTACCATGCAGCGTTATAACCATCCTGATATTCCCAGGGTTTAACCACATCAATACTGGGCACTTTCACCCCCTTCCTGCCAAGACCAATTTTCAGCGCTATTGCATTTTGAAAATTGTACGGTCATGCAGCTGTCTTGGTTCATGTTGGAACCAATGACAGAATACATGGAAGGTGGAGGCTCCTTAAGAATCAATTTAAAGAACTAGGCTGCAGGTTGAAGGGAAGGACCTCCAAGGTGATATTCTCTGAAACAGGGCTTAAAATTGCAAGTCCTGAGCTACTAGTCAGGCCTTAAGTTACTCGCCACCAGTTGCCCCACCCAACCCCTACCCTGCTACACCCCTAATTCTGCCCCTAAACACGGTCTCGTAAATTATTTCATGAAATTACACTGTTAAATTTTACATTACATCAGGGTCCCCAGAGTCCCCCCACATTACATCAGGGCCTCCAATGTCCCCCTAAACACTCCATCATACTTAGACCATGCACCGCATACAACCATAACCCCCCATAATCTTTCACTCGCAAAACCATAACTCTACCAAGCATATCCTACCTACTATCCAACCCAGCAGGACCTCAAATGCCCCATACTTACCACCCATAATAACCACATAATCCTGAACCTGTCCAAACCACCCATACATGTAGGTTTACATACAGACATATGTACATACATACATAAACAGAGACAACTGTACACACACACAGACATGTACATACACGCACACATACACACACAGAAGCATGTACACACACACATACAGACACATGTACATACACAGAAATACACACGCCCAGACACATGTACATATACACAGACACATGTACACACAGATACATATAGGTACATACACACAAACACACACACATGTACATGCACACACAGACACATGTACACACATACACGTACATACACGCAAACACATGTACATACATACACAGATACACACACACAAATACACACACGTACACACATACACACACACATGTACACACACACATACAAATATATATACACACACATACACAGCCCTATAAAAAGTTGCAGTACTTCTTTGTTCGTTACGTTCACGCTCAGAGCCGGGTACTGCACTCTAGGGGGAGGCGGAGAGCACAGCACACACTCCTTCCTTTGCTTTCACTTTGCTCAACTATTGAGCAGTCTGACAGCTCCCAGTGAGAGTGACCGATCCGGCCCTGAGTTCCGAGCCTGCTCAGCAAGACAGCCCTGGGGACACACTCGCCCTCTACCATAATCTCCACTCGCTAATGTGAGCAGGCAAGTGGAAATTTCAAGACCTGCTCTGAAATATTAGCTCTGCTATGCGCAACTCAGGAAAGATGGGGAGATTAGAGAACTCAATGCAAGTTAAAGACCTGGTGTAAGAGGGAAGGATTTGGGTTTCTAGAGCGCTGGACTGACTTTTCATTGGGGTGCAACCTATATGCTAGAGATGGTTTGCACCTAAATGGGAGGGGGTTTGCTGTGCTGGGGGAGAGGTTTATGGGATGACTGAAGGAGTATTTAAACTAGGATTGAGGGGGGGAGGGTGAATTAGATTATGATAGGGCAGACAGATCAGACGGGTCAGACCTTATTGGTGGGTGGAATGGGGAAAGATGGGGGGAGGTCTATGGCAGATAATAAGAAGGTTTCCATGTTACAAACAACCATTGGAATTGGTACCATTTGCATGAAAATAAAAATTATGTAAAATACATGTGAACAAGGTGTCAATCAATTAAAGTGTTTGTTCACCAATCCCGGAAATCAATAATAGGTGAGTTGGAAGCTTTGGTGCATGAAGAGAACTATGATTTAATTGGTAATAAAAAGTAGTAAAGAGCGCCTTAGTAAGAAAAAACCCCACAAGCTGCTATGCACAAAATAGGTACCAAGGACCTATAGTAATAGACAATAAATAAAAAGGAAGTGCAGCGCTAGTGAGCAATAGTGAATACAAGTATACATAAAAATAGTGATAAGTCACTGGTGTGATAAATGGATAGTCCCGTGAATACACATAAATAATAGAGGTGACTCTGTTATTCGTGAGGAGGTGGTGTAAAAATGCGCACTCACCGGACGCGCATTTTAAATGTGCATTGGGTATAAGATCCTGCTGTCAGGTGGTGAGCAGTTCCTCCTTTATCGGGTCCTAAATGGGTTATTCTACTCCACTGGGGGGGTCCCTGTAGAAACCGTCCTTGCTGGTGATCTGGATAATGGATGGTGATCCTTTCTTGGAGTGGGTCTGCGGTGAGCCTGCGGACAGCTGGTAAATAAGAGTATCCGCCGGAGCTCCACGTTGCTCCGGCGGGTGTGACGTCACGGCGTGGTGTGGCTCCTCCTGACGCGTATCGTGCTCAAGCACGTCTTCAGAGGGGGGTCGCCCCCCAGCAGGATCTTATATACCCAATGTGCATTTAAAATGCGCGTCCGGTGAGTGCGCATTTTTACACCACCTCCTCACGAATAACAGAGTCACCTCTATTATTTATGTGTATTCACGGGACTATCCATTTATCACACCAGTGACTTATCACTATTTTTATGTATACTTGTATTCACTATTGCTCACTAGCGCTGCACTTCCTTTTTATTTATGATTTAATTGGTATTGCTGAATCTTGGCTTCATTCTTCACATGACTGGGCCATTAATATTCCTGGCTATGTTCTCTTTTGGAGAGACAGGTTAAATAGGAAAGGTGGTGGTATCTGTCTCTATGTGAGAAGTGATCTCAGAGCGAGTGTTATAGAGGACCTAGTTGATGGAGAGTGTGATGAGACTGAAGCATTATGGGTGGAACTGTACATGGGGGTGCGTACTACAAAGGTAATCATTGGAGTTTATTATAAACCTCCCAGTGTTAATGAGGAGGTGGAGACTCAGCTCCTTGCACAGATCAAAAGGGCTAGGACAGTGATAATAATGGGGGATTTTAACTACCTGGAAATTGGAGTAATGGTACTGCAGGAACAGTTAAAGGGCAAACATTTTTAAACCTACTACAGGACAATTTTATGGTACAGTTCATAGAAGCCCCAACTAGGAATGATGCTCTGCTGGACCTGGTAATCTCAAACCATGCAGAGCTTATTACGAATGTCCGTGTAAAAAAACATCTGAGTAGCAGTGACCATAACATGATTTCATTTGTTGTTAGCTGTAAACATCAAGCACATACAGGAAAAATAAAAATGCTTAATTTTAACCTCCCTGGAGGTATTCCCGAGTGTAGCTCAGGGTAAAGTTTCATGTGAATGGCGGCAATGTTGAGTGAGCAACCTTGTGTGGTCAGTGTGTTTTTTAGTTCAGCTGCTCGGCACAGGACTTGGAAGATCACTGTAGAAATACTAGCTGCTGCACTGATTTCCAGAGATACAGTATGTGCACTTACATTGGTCCAAGCTGGACCAATGTAAGTATGAAATTAAGGAGGACATTCAGTTTGTTTTTTCTTTTGAAAAAGTTGGAAGCTAGAAATACAATAGCTGCAGGCTTTTAAAAAATCCGTTAATTACCAGTGCCTGAGATACAGCGCTGACTTCCCAAAGTTGGTTCTTCTTACCCCCTAGGGTCTTCGGCCATCATGAATACAGGAGCCGGCTGCGGCTTCCTGGGGAACCACATCAGACACCCTACTGTGCGAGCGTGAGCTCACCCAGCACTTGTGAATGGTCCTACAGCCTCCTGAGACATGTGACACTTACCAGGAGCCTGCAGGAGGGAAGTTGGCAGGGCAAGGAGCGTCATTCTTGCCTAGGCGAAGATTGTGAACATGGGAGCAGATACTGATAGAAATCAGTACTTGATCCCCACCCCCCCCCCCCCCCCCCCCCCCCCCCCCCCCCTTCCTTTAAAAAAACAAAACAAAAACCTTCTCTTTAGGATCATACCAAGTCTTCAGCTTTAATTTCCTTTCCTTGGGCTGCTGACATTTAACAAAATGAGAGCCACATGGAATAGTACAAACAAACGGCAACTGCCCCAACCTATAACTGGCCTTTGCAGCTTTTGCAACAAAGAAAAATTCCCAACCAGCCTGCAACCATCCAAATTATGCTGTCTATTGGTTCACGTTTAGTTTACACACATTTGCAAATACATGTTTAACCACTTGAGCTCCTGAGGATTTACCCCCCTTAATGACCAGGCCTTTTTTTGCTGTTTGGCGCTGCACTAATTCAAATGATAATTGCGCGGTCATGCAATGCTGTACCCAAACGAAAATTTACGTCCTTTTTTTTACACAAATAGAGCTTTCTTTTGGTGGTATTTTATCACCTGTGCGCTTTTTTTTTTTGCGCTATAAACAAAAAAACTACGAAAATTTTGAAAAAAACCAATATTTTCTACTTTCAGCTATAAAAAATATATCGTAAACTCAAAGTTAGTCATAAATTTAAGCCAAAATGTATTCTGCTACATGTTTTTTGGTAAAAAAAATCCCGTGCATTAGCGGGCAAACTGGCGCTATCTAGGAGGGGCGCTAACACTACCGGAAGTCACCAGTGACACTAATACAGTGATCAGTAAAAATCTGTTCACTGTAATCAATGACACTGGTGACAGGGCAGTGAAGGGGTTAACTGGGGGGGGGGGGAGGGGGCGATCAAGGGGCTAAATGGGATTTCTGGTGCACTAGCGGGCAAACTGGCGCTATCTGGGAGGGGCGCTAACACTATCGGAAGTCGCCAGCGACACTGATACAGTGATCAGTAAAAATCGGTTCACTGATCAGTGACACTGGTGACAGGGCAGTGAAGGGGTTAACTGGGGGGGGGAGATTAAGGGGTTAAATGGGATTACTGGTGTACTAGCGGGCAATCTGGCGCTATCTGGGAGGGGCGCTAACACTATAGGAAGTCGCCAGCGACACTGATGCAGTGATCAGTAAAAATTGGTTCACTGATCAGTGACACTGGTGACAGGGCAGTGAAGGGGTTAACTGGGGGGGGCGATCAAGGGGTTAAACGGGATTACTGGTGTACTGGCGGGCAAACTGGCGCTATCTGGGAGGGGCGCTAACTCTATCGGAAGTCGCCAGCGACACTGATACAGTGATCAATAAAAATTGGTTCACTGATCAGTGACACTGGTGACAGGGCAGTGAAGGGGTTAACTGGGGGGGGGGGGGGGGGGCGGCGATCAAGGGGTTAAACGGGATTACTGGTGTACTGGCGGGCAGTCTGGCGCTATCTGGGAGGGGCGCTAACACTATCGGAAGTCGCCAGCGACACTGATACAGTGATCAGTAAAAATTGGTTCACTGATCAGTGACACTGGTGACAGGGCAGTGAAGGGGTTAACTGGGGGGGGCGATCAAGGGGGGTTAAACGGGATTACTGGTGTACTGGCGGGCAGTCTGGCGCTATCTGGGAGGGGCGCTAACACTATCGAAAGTCGCCAGCGACAGTGATCAGTAAAAATTGGTTCACTGATCAGTGACACTGGTGACAGGGCAGTGCAGGGGTTAACTGGGGGGGGGGATCAAGGGGTTAAACGGGATTACTGGTGTAGGGGGTTAAATCGGAAGTCGCCCGACACTGATCAGTAAAAATCGCTTCAGTGAACTGGTGACAGGGCAGTGAAGGGTGGGGGGGGGGGGGGGCGATCAGGGGGTTAAATGTGTCCTGTGTTCTAACTGTAGTGTAGTGCTTTTACTGGATGTCATCTTCTCTGTCTGGAACGGAATGTGTCCAGGCAGAGAAGAATGACATCATATCCTGCCCTGTGTATTTGTCAACACAGGACAGGATAGGACAGGGACCGATCATGTGATTTCAGCCAGAAATCACTGGCTGAAATCTAATGATTGATCCCTCCTGGATCGAATCGGATTACCCGCGGGTCGGCGGGAGCGCGCGCGTGCCCCCTGCCGGCGAAAGTCTTGGGAGCGCGGAACCCGTTTTTAAACGTGGTTTTGCGCTCCACTGCCGCCCTGCACACGTATATACACAGTGGCAGGGCGGCAAGCGGTTAAGCTGCAGAGTCACTTCATAGCACCCCAGTATCTGCAATTCCTAACTCTCTAATTTTTTAGAGCCTCCATAGTAGAAGCACATGTATAATAATGGATAGATTGAAGGCAGGTAAGCCTTGAGGGTGCCCACCTCTCCTTAAAGGCACAGGGGGGCACACTGTACACCCAGCATATAGCACAATGGAGACAAAGGTGCAAACTTAACCCCTGTTTTTACCATGAACTGTTAGATGGGATCATTTGGTTGATTGCAGGCTGACTGGTAAGTGAGCTGGGAATTTCTTTGTTGTTGTTTGAGCCACATGGAAGAGTTTTGGTAATTCTGAAAATAGACTTGCAGGTCTCCTCATCCTTCACGGCTCTCAGAGCTGTGAAGCTGTGATTGTTGAAGGTTAAAGGAAGATGATGGTTAATGAAGGTCTTGGGTTTTTTTTTTTTTTCAGCTGTGCCTATTACAAGTCGTTCTGTAAATTAGCAGGAATATGCTAAGCCTTGGTCCCTTTTCACAGCTTGCGGTGCAGAACTTGTCAGTTGAGTGACAGACTTTCTCGTTGTTGTTTTCCCCAGTCAATGACTAATAATCCCTCCAGCACAGGTGGGGATGGGGAACATCCTCTGAGAGTTATGATGCAAAACCTGGTGATTTATTCATATCGCATTTGTGATCCCAAGTTATACCCTTGCCCAAAAGGTTGAAATCCACCATGTATTTCACAGGAGGTGCAATATTGCACACGATTTCCTAATCCCCGTACAATTCATGTTTTCACTGTGTGATATAACTCATTCCTGTAAAACATGCAGGAAATGCTCTGATTTTGCTTTGCTCTCTCAAAGACAATTGAATGTTTTGAAATGCAAATGAAGGTGCTCAGCAATGATAAACCATAGGGCTCCTTTAGTGTAAGTGAAATAATAGGAGATAAGTCATGTACATGTTTTCTGTCTCCCTCTCCAGATGCCTCCAGCAGAGTGGTGACATTTATACCACTGGAAGAGCCAAGCCAGGGACATATTCAGGTCAAGAAAAACAACATTTATCAAATCCGTCTCGCACACGTTCGCAGATGATGAATGGTGAGCGGAGCTGGAAGAGTTTTCTGCGCTGAATATATTAGCATTAAGTCCCAATCTCTGCTACATGATGAATGGCCTGCTTTCCTCACCCAGGTGGTCAGTGGAAGCATTTCATTTCTTAATTGTACTATTATTTTCCTTTTAGATGAGGTTTACTGTCACAAGCAATGCCACCATTAAGTTCTGCGTATTGACTAGTTCATTAGCAGTATGACAATATTCCACCTGTTCTGTATAGCACTGAAGCAATGGATGCCCCCAGAGAAGTTTACTGTTTTTTAGTGAAACTCCAAGCAAACCCTTAAATACACAGAGAGGTCTGTTTCACATAGACGTTCCAGCAATCCATTTGTGACCCGCGATTACACGGATTAAAAAGGGATTACAAATTTATCTTTTATATGCGGTCAGACTTCAGCAGACAGATGTGCACTTTTATCCATCCACATCCAGGTCCATTCAGGTTTGGTGGACGGAACACAATAAGTTTGCTTTCAGGTCCCTTTTTTTTACTGACCTGACCAGAAATGGATAGATATAGGCGGACGCACATCCTATTTCATCTGGCCACCCATGGGGATTACATGGGTCCATTTTAAATCGGGACAGACACAAATGCTGCACATGTGACATCAGTTTCTGTTCTGATCCAAGTAAGTGGGGATCAGTCTAGGATCCTTGCTCAGATGGAATAGAAGGGTGTCTGTGTGACAGGGGCTTAGAGTAACTCCACTTTTGTTGAGAAATAACCATTCCCCTCTGGGTGATCAATGTACATTGCAAGGATTTTAACAAACTTTGTTGCAGATTCCAACAGTTTGTTATTCTGAAGAAATAGATTTGTCTGTATCTATGTGCAGTGAATCTATATGGGAGTGACTTTATAATTATCTATCAGCTGCTGCACCTGCAGGGTTCTGAGGAATTTGGCAGGGTCTGCATCCCTTTTAAATGTGATTTCCTTTAGGAGTATCTCACAAAAAAAATGACATTTTGGTGCAGGGGATGCCAAAAATCTGACTTGTGTCTTAGTGCAAACTTCTGGGAAAATCAGCCAATCACACAAGAAGGAAATAACATTTTCAGGGGGCGTTCTGTACGCCATCTGTACACAGAACTGCATTTTACAGAAAATTACAGCACTGTAGATTGAAAAGAAAAGGTCAATTTTGCTAACATTCAATTACAGTATGACTTGAGTTGCAATTGTATACGCTGTATTTAATTTTATTTGCTTTTCTTTTTCCACAAAAGTGAAGTTACCCTTTAAAATAGAAAGATATGTACACTTGCCTGGCTGCTCTGGTCTGGCCATGTGATCTGGCTTCCCTGTGTCAGCCAGCAGCAGCTGCAGGGGAGATGGAGTGCCGACAACAGATGGGCCATTGAAACCTATGGGTCACGTCACCGCTGCAGGCTTTAACAGCTGTTGTTGGAGCTCACTCTCTTCCCTGTAGCCACTTCAGACCACTGACAGGTTGAGTGCATAACACTGATTATCTCGTTACAATGGCATATGAAAGTTGGTAAGATGTCTTAGCCAGCAAGTAAACATGCTGTCCCTAAAGTCGATGTATTGAAAGCAGAAACAAATTGCACAACAGTCTGTTGTGTATGGGGCTGCTTAGCCACAAACCAGTCAAGGTGCCCATGCGGACCCGTGTCCACAGCCAAAAGCACTTACAATAGGCACTTAAGGATCAGAACTGGACCATAGTGCAATGGAAGAAGGTGGCCGGGTGCATGTGCATTGCTTACCTGGGAAAGAGATCGCACCAGGATGCAGTATGGGAAGAAGGCAAAGCAGCAGAGGTAGTGGGATGCTCTGGCCAAGTTCTGCTGGGAAATCTTGGGAAATCTGCTGGGAAATCCTGCCATTCATGTGAATGCTACTTGAATTTTTATCAATCAATACAAGGATTTCCCTATTTGGCTCATGACATCATCCACCCACCTCTCCACCCCAGCCAATCAGAGGAAGCCTTGTAAATCCTTGAAAAAAATACAAGGCTTCCTGTGAATAGCTGAGAAGCACTCAGGCCTACTTGATTTTGTTCTGATTGCAGACAGGAAGTCTCCTGAGATGCTGGCGGAACACAACGCCACTTACTGGTGCCACATAGAGTTTGTACAGCACTGACAACAGGTGCTGCATCCCTTAGTAAAGTAGGTAATTGGTTTGGGCCAGCTTGGATCAAACTTACTATTTAAAGTGGCAGCAAACCTAGAGTTAGGCTTTAATTTGTGGTTTTTAATATTTATCTGGAGTTCAGCTTTAAGCTTGAAAAGTGTGGGGCATATTTTTGAGCCATTGGATTCTCTTTTCACTTTTACCTTGCACAGTGCTCTTAGGGCTCGTTCACACTAGGCTGTTTTTGCCAACGCTTCCAAACGCCCCTATAGCGTTTGGCAAGCGTTGGTCCGGTGTTTGCGGAGCGTTTTTAACGCTCGGCAAACGCTCCGCAAACGCCGCATGCGCGGTTTAGCGGCGGTTGCTAGGCGTTTGCCGAGCGTTAATAACGCCCCACAAACGCCTATAATGCATTTGAGTGGTGTTACCGCTCCGCAAACACCCCGCAACCGCGTCGCAACCACACTGCAAACGCCGGCCGGGCGTTTGCGGAGCAGCACCATAGACGAGAATAGGAGGCTTCAAAGCCTCCTGACTCGACCAGAGGCGTCCGTTTTGCTGCGACGCAACGCGACGCGACGCAAACGCTCCTGTTAGAACAGCACCATGTGCTGTAATGTGCAGAATTGGCAGAGGCGTTTGGGAAGCGGTAAAAACGCTTCCCAAACGCCTCTCTGCCGCCTGCACACAAGGCTAGTGTGAACGTAGCCTTAGTCTAACACTAAGCACATTAGAGGTGGTGAGAGCAGAGTGATGTCTTCATCAGTGTGAAATTGCTCCTTCTTCCTCCAGCCACATGTAGTAAGTTCTGGACTGCTTTACTGTATTTGAAAACATAGATGTCTTGGTTTTCACATTGGTTGTTGGACACCATGTAGACTTGTTTTTAAAAAACTAAAACATTTTTAATTTTTTTTTTTTTCTTAACACTCTTTTGTTCTTTAGTATTCATTACTATTTTCAGAAATTCTGTTTTTTTTGCATAATAAACTGCTGATTTGGGAGATAATCGCTGCTGTCCCTCTGCATTTTTCTTTATTTTCTTGTTTCCTAATTTGGAGTGCTTTTGGCTGTGTATCTGGTATAGTCCACCTTTTTTGCAAAAAAAAAAAAAAAACTAATCAACATATTAATAATATCCAATAATAAATTGTGCATTTATTATATTTTTTCATTGAGACAAAACATTGCAATCATGAATAGTGTATTAGTGTGCAAGGCATAGACTCAGTACTGTTTTTTACATCCAGTTCCAGGTCCGTACTAAGGTGCAAGCCTTCTGTTATGGGGCTGAAGGAAGTAAGCAATGAACTACAAATGCAGTAGCGTCACTGGACTTGTACCTGTGCCACCTGCGAGCCTCTCTGTCGCCTTGGCGGATTGGGCTTGTAATCTTCTTATTAACAGATCTTTGTGAATGGATGACGCAGCCAGCCGTTCTGAAAATCCAAACAGGACGAGCCAAGGAAAAGCACCCTGTGATTCAGATTACACCCTAAATATGGGTGTAACACGAAACATGATTCCATAGATGAACTATGCTTTTAACTAATGGAGTTGAATTCGATCTATCTACAACAAATGCAATATATGCTCTTTCTTTTTCATTACATTAATTTCTTTTTAAATACTTTGGTGGAAAACACAGACCAGATGTATATATTTCAGCTGTATACTCACACTATATTGCCAAAAGTATTGGCACTCCTGCCTGTACACGCACATGAACTTTAATGGCACCCCAGTCTTAGTCTGTAGGGTTCAATATTGAGTTGGCCCACCCTTTGCAGCTATAACAGCTTCACCTCTTCGGGGAAGGCTGTCCACAAGGTGTAGGAGTTTGTCTATGGCAATGTTTGACCATTCTTCCAGAAGTGCATTTGTGAGGTTAGGCATTGATGTTCTATAGAGAAGGCCCGGCTCACAGTCTCCACTTTAATTAATTCAAAAGGTGCTCTATCGGGGTTGAGGTCCGGACTCTGTGCAGGCCAGTCAAGTTCCTCCACTCCAGACTCGCTCATCCATGTCTTTATGGACCTTGGTTTGTACACTGGTGCACAGTCATGTTGGAACAGGCCATCCCTAAACTGTTCCCACAAGTTGGGAGCATGAAATTGTCCAAAATGTCTTGGTATGCTGACCCTTAAGAGTTCCCTTCACTGGAACTAAGGGGCCAAGCCCAACCACTGAATAACAAGCCCCCACACCAAAAAAGCCCTGTATTTTAACCCCTTCACGCCTAAACGGGTAAAACAAGCACAATTTTGCAACGTTGACATGTGTTAGTAAAACCGTACATATCATCACAAACTACTTTGTAAGCACATCCGGAGGGTGAATTATACCATGATTTTTTTTCCGGACAAATTGGGCTTTCATTTGGTGGGTAAATGGTAAATGGATATCTCCTGATATATTTTTTTTTTCAATCAAAGGAAAACTGTCCCAAAATAGTAAAAAAAAAAAAATTTTTTTTTCTATTTAGCTGTGTGTTTCTTGTTACTAGCACAAACCTACCACCAAAGAACACACCAAAAAATAAATTCTCCAGCTCTTGACAATCGCAAGTAATACCATATATGTGCATGTTATTTATTGTTTGTACCCGTTAGTACAGCCAGAAACAATAGTGCGCATTTTGTTTTTGTCTTTTTTTTTTTTTTTTTTTTAAACCTAAAACACACTGACATTGACACTAACTGACACCGATTTTTTTTTTTTAAATCCTGACCTTTGACCCTGACCTTTTGACCTTGACCCAACCAATATTCTGGCACTGAACTAGATCAAACCCTTGATCTAAGTATTTTTCTTAATTTTTTATTTTATCTTTTAATATTTATTTATATAAACATTTTTTTTTTCTCTC